TCTCTTACCCCCTCTCTCTACCCCTCTCTCTCTACCCCCCTCTCTCTTTCTCTACCCCCTCTCTCTCTACCCCTTCTCTCTCTACCCCCTCTCTCTCTACTCCCTCTCTCTCTCTCTCTACCCCCTCTCTCTACCCCTTCTCTCTCTACCCCCTCTCCTCTACCCCCTCTCTCTCTACCCCCTCTCTCTCTCTCTACCCCCTCTCTCTACCCTCTCTCTCTCTACCCCCTCTCTCTCTACCCCCCTCTCACTCTACCCCCTCTCTCTACCCCTCTCTCTCTACCCCCTCTCTCTACCCCCTCTCTCTACCCCCTCTCTCTCTCTACCCCCTCTATCTCTACCCCCCCCCCCCCTCTCTCTATACCCCCTCTCTCTCTCTCTCTACCCCCTCTATCTCTACCCCTCTCTCTCTCCCCCCCCTTCTCTACACCCTCTCTCTCTACTCTCTCTCTCTCTCACATCCACACACACACTCTCTATCACATCTGGCTCTCCCCTTATCTCTCCCCTTATCTCCCTCTCTTCAACCTCTCCCCTTCGCCTTTCTCTCCCCTGTCTCTCTCTCTCTCTCACATCCACACACACACACTCTCACACACACGCACACACACACTCTCTCTCTCTCACATCCACACACACACACTCTCACACACACACCCTCTCTCTCTCTCACATCCACACACACACACTCTCACACACACACTCTCTCTCTCTCACATCCACACACACACACTCTCACATCCACACACACACACTCTCTATCACATCCACGCACACACACATTCTCTCACATCCACACACACACACTCTCACTCTCCCTCTCTCACATCCACACACACTCTCTCTCTCTCCCTCAATCTATATTCTTCCTCTATCCTCCTGTCTCTTTCCCACTCACCCATCCACTCACGCATTCACTCACTCACTCACCCAATGACCCCATAACTCACCCACTCACTGACCCACCCATTCACTCACCCACCCACTCACCCATTCAAACACTCACTCAACCACCCAATGACCCTATAACTCACTCACCCTTTGACCCGATAACTCACCCACCCACTCACTGACCCACCCACTCACTCACCCACCCACTCACCCATTCAAACACTCACTCACCCAATGACCCTATAACTCACCCACCCAAATACCCTATAACTCACCTACCCACTCACTGACCCACCCACTCACTCACCCACCCACTCACCCATTCAAACACTCACTCACCCAATGACCCATTAACTCACCCACCCACTCACTGACCCACTCACTCACCCACAACGCACTCACCCACCCACTCACCCATTCACTCAATCACTCACTCACCCAATGACCCGCTAACTCACCCACGCACCCACTCATCCACCCAATGACCCACTCACCCACAACTCACTCACCTATCCACCCACTCACTCACTCACCCTCCCATCCACTCACTCAACCATTTACCTACCACCCATACACACAAAGACAAAGCTCCCACGTATAGCCCAAACGCACCATTGGGGCAAGTGCTGTCAGCGAGCAGCAGCCCCCCGCTGGCTGAGCGGGGGGGGGGGGGGAGTGGTAAGAAGCACCCCGCAAGACCGCCTTTGTCTCTCTGGAGATGTGTGAACAAGAGCTTCACAGCTTATCGGATTCCTCCAGTCTAAATAAAGGTTACCTGGTTATCATATTAGCACGCACAAACATATACAGCAGGTAACTAACTTTAGTCAGAGTCAACCTACATACAAAGACAAAGATCCCCCGTATAGCCTGTAACAGACTCACACTCACACGCACAAAGACACAGATCCCCCATATAGCCTTAACAGGCTACGGGGGCAAGTGCTGTTAGCGAGTAGCAGCAGCAGCAACAGCAGCAGCAGCGCCTATGAAGGCTACCGGACAACTGTGGGACACACGACGGTGGGGGGGGGGGGGGTTGACCAGCAAAACCACCACGCCCGGCCGCCTTTGTCTCCCCAGTGGCGATGCTCGCTGCACACCGCAGCCCCAGCTGACTCATTTGAGGCTGAGTCGACCTCGCAGGGAGGCCCAGGACCGTCTCAGATCATCGCTGGCGGCGGCGGCGGCGTTCGTGAGCGGGAACTGAACCGGGTGTCACGGTCGGGTTCGTAGCGGCACCACCGCTCCCAACCCCCCCCCCGCCGCACGAACGCACACTGGGCGCTCGGCCTTCTATCTCCCGTCGCGGCAGCGTGAACCTGCGATTGGCAGGCGAGTCACGTGGTGGTGGTGGTGATGTTGGGGGTTAAGAGTGGGCGTCATGGCTTACTCGTCACGCTGACGGTGGTGGTGATGGCGGTGATTCCCAGGCTGTTGGATGCTTGGCAGGACAGCGGTCCCGAGTGCAGGCTGCCGACACGGGAGATCGTGAGTCGGGAAATCCCCCTGCAGGGCAAGGACACAGCTCGGCACCACGCAGGCGACTGGGGGCAAGTGGCTGTTGAGGAGGAATCCAGCGACTCGCAAAACCCGCTGGCTTGTTCACTCACTCGTCCACCCAACCAGCCACTCACTTAGCCACCCACTCACCCACCCACCCAGCTACTCACCCACCGAGCTACTCATCCACCCACCCAGCTACTCACCAACCCACTTGCTTGTTCACTCACTCATCCACCCAACCAGCCACTCACTTACCCACCCACTCACCCACCCACCCACTCACTCACCCACCCACTCACCCACCCACCCAGTTACTCACCCACCCAGCTACTCATCCACCCAGCTACTCGCCAACCCACTGGCTTGTTCACTCACTGATCCACCCAACCAGCAACTCACTTACCCACCCACTCACCCACCCACCCACCCAGCTACTCACCCACCCACCAACTCATCCACCCAGCCACCCACCCACTCATCCACCCACTCACCCACCCACTTACTCACCCAACAATCACTCATCAACCCACTGGTTGTTCACTTACTCATCCACCGACCCACCCAGCTACTCACCAACCCAGCTACTCATCCACCCAACCAGCCACTCACTTACCCACCCACTCACCCACCCAACCAGCCACTCACCAACTCACCCACACACTCACTCAATCACTCACCCATCCAACCAGCCACCCACTCACCCACCCAGTGATCCACCGACTCACCCACCCACTCACCCCACCCACTCATCCACACACCCACCCACTCACCCACTCACTCACTCACCCACACACTCACTCACTCACCCACTCACTCACCCACTCACTCACCCACTCACTCACTCACCCACCCACTCACCCACCCACCCACTCACCCACCCACCCACTCACTCACCCACTCACCCACCCACCCACTCACATCCACTCACCCACTCACCCACTCACTTACCCACTCACCCACCCACTCACCCACTCAATCACCCACCCACTCACTCACCCACTCACTCACTCACTCACCCACTTACTCACCCACTCACCCACCCACCCACCCAGTCACTCACTCACTCACCCACTCACTCACCACCCACCCAACCACCCACTCACTCACTCACCCAATCAATCACTCACCCACTCACCCACCCACCCACGCACTCAACCACACACTCACTCACCCACTCACCCACTCACTCACTCACCCACCCACCCACTCACTCACTCACCCACTCACCCACCGACTCACTCACCCACTCACCCACTCACCCCCCCACTCACCCACCCAATAACTCACCACTCACCCACCCACCCACTCACTCACTCACCACTCACCCACCCACCCACCCACTCACCCACTCACCCACTCATCCACTCACCCACTCACCCACTCACTCACCCACTCACTCACCCACCCAGCCACTCACTCACCCACCCACTCACCCACCCACTCACCCACTCACTCACTCACCCACCCACCCACTCACCCACCCACTCACTCACCCACTCAGTCACTCACCCACTCACCCACCCACTCACCCACCCACTCACCCACCCACTCACTCACCACTCACCCACCCACCCACCCACTCACCCACTCACCCACTCATCCACTCACCCACCCACTCACTCACCCACTCACTCACCCACTCACTCACTCACCCACCCACTCACCCACCCACCCACCCACTCACCCACCCGCCCACTCACTCACTCACTCACCCACTCACTCACTCACTCACCCACTCACCCACTCACCCACTCACACACCCACTCACCCACCCACCCACTCACCCACCCGCCCACTCACTCACTCACCCACTCACCCACTCACCCACCCACTCACCCACTCACCCACTCACTCACTCACTCACCCACTCACTCACTCACTCACCCACTCACCCACCCACCCACCCACTCACCCACTCACTCACTCACTCACGCACTCACCCACTCACCCACCCACTCACCCACCCACCCACTCACCCACCCGCCCACTCACTCACTCACCCACTCACCCACCCACTCACCCACTCACCCACTCACCCACCCACCGACCCACACACTCACCCACTCACTCACCCACTCACTCACCCACTCACCCACTCACTCACCCACTCACCCACCCACTCACCCACTCACTCACCCACCCACCCACTCACTCACCCACCCACTCACCCACTCACCCACCCACTCACTCACCCACTCACTCACCCACTCACTCACTCACCCACCCACTCACTCACCCACTCACCCACTCACCCACTCACCCACTCACTCACTCACCCACCCACTCACCCACTCACCCACCCACTCATCCACCCATCCACTCACTCACTCACTCACCCACTCACCCACTCACTCACTCACCCACTCACTCACCCACTCACCCAGCCACCCACCCACCCACTCACCCACTCACTCACCCACCCACTCACCCACTCACCCACCCACTCACCCACCCACCCACCCACTCACCCACCCACTCACTCACTCACCCACTCACTCACTCACCCACCCACTCACCCACCCACCCACCCACTCACCCACCCACCCACTCACTCACTCACCCACCCACTCACCCACCCACCCACTCACCCACCCACTCACCCACTCACCCACTCACCCACCCACTCACTCACCCACCCACTCACTCACCCATTCACTCACTCACCCACTCACACGCTCACTCACTCACTCACCCACTCACCCAATCACCCACCCACTCACCCACCCACTCACCCACTCACCCACCCACCCACCCACTCACCCACCCACCCACTCACCCACCCACTCACTCACCCACCCACTCACCCACCCACTCACTTCTTGGTGGTGATCCGCACTCCCTTCCCCTTCTTCAGGCGCACCCCATTCAGGAGCCAGGCGTACTCAGCGCTTCCCGATGCCTCGCACTGACACGGAGACACAGGCACAGACAAAGCTTCCCCGTGTAGCCCATGCAGCCTGTAGGGACAAGTGCATTTAGAAGCGTGCGTTGTATGTACTACCTTATGTAGCCACCAGTGAAAATCGGAGGCAGTGTATAGTAGTGTAGTGTATAGTGTAGTGTATAGTGTAGTGTATAGCAGTGTAGTGTATAGTAGTGTAGTGTATAGTGTAGTGTATAGTGTAGTGTATAGTAGTGTAGTGTATAGTGTAGTGTATAGTAGTGTAGTGTATAGCGTAGTGTTAAGTGTAGTGTATATTAGTGCAGTGTATAGTGTAGTGTGTAGTAGTGTAGTGTATAGTAGTGTAGTGTATAGCAGTGTGGTGTATAGTAGTGTAGTGTATAGTGTAGTGTTAAGTGTAGTGTACAGTAGTGTAATGTATAGTGTAGTGTATAGTGTAATGTATAGTTTAGTGCATAGTAGTGTACAGTGTAGTGTATAGTGTAGTGTATAGTAGTGTAGTGGATAGTGTAGTGTATAGTGTAGTGTATAGTAGTGTATAGTGTAGTGTCCAGTGTAGTGTATATTAGTGTATAGTGTAGTGTATAGTAGAATATAGTGAAGTGTATAGTGTAGTGTATAGTGTAGTGTATAGTAGTGTAGTGTATATAGTATAGTGTATATAGTGTAGTGTATAGTAGTGTATAGTGTAGTGTATAGTGAGGTGTATAGTGTAGTGTATAGTGTGGTGTATAGTGTAGTGTATAGTAGTGTATAGTGTAGTGTATAATGTATTGTATAGTGTAGTGTATAGCGCATTGTATAGTAGTGTCTAGTGTAGTGTATAATGTAGTGTATAGTGTAGTTTAAAGTGCAGTGTATAGTAGTGTATTGTGTAGTGTATAGTAGTGTATAGTGTAGTGTATAGTAGTGTATAGTGTAGTGTATTGTGTAGTGTATAGTGTAGTGTATAGTAGTGTATAGTTTAATGTATAGTGTAGTGTATAGTGTAGTGTATAGTAGTGTAGTGAATAGTAGTGTAGTGTAGTGTGTAGTGTAGTGTATAGTAGTGTAGTGTATAGTGTAGTGTATAGTGTAGTGTATAATGTAGTGTATCGTGTAGTGTATAGTGTAGTGTATAGTGTAGTGTATAGTAGTGTATAGTGTAGTGCATAGTGTAGTGTATAATGTAGTGTATAGTGTAGTGTATAGTAGTGTATAGTGTAGTGTATAGTGTAGTGTATAGTGTAGTGTATAGTGTAGTGTATAGTAGTGTATAGTGTAGTGTATAGTGTAGTGTATAGTGTGGTATATAGTAGTGTATAATGTAGTGTATAATGTAGTGTATAGTAGTGTATAGTGTAGTGTATAGTATAGTGTATAATGTAGTGTATAATGTAGTGTATAGTGTAGTGCATAGTAGTATATATTGTAGTGTATAGTAGTGTATAATGTATTGTATAATGTAGTGTATAATGTAGCGTATAGTAGTGTATAGTGTAGTGTATAGTGTAGTGTATAGTGTAGTGTATAGTGTAGTGTATAGTGTAGTGTATAATTTAGTGTATAATGTAGTGTATAGTGTAGTGGATAGTAGTGTATAATATAGTGTATAGTGAAGTGTATAGTGTAGTATATAGCTTAGTATATAATGTAGTGTATAATGTAGTGTATAATGTTGTGTATAGTAGTGTAGTGTATAGTGTAGTGTTAAGTGTAGTGTATAGTAGTGTAATGTATAGTGTAATGTATAGTAGTGTATAGTGTAGTGTATAGTGTAGTGTATAGTGTAGTGTATAGTAGTGTATAGTGTAGTGTAGTGTATAGTGTAGTGTATAGTGTGGTGTATAGTAGTGTATAATGTAGTGTATAATGTAGTGTATAGTAGTGTATAGTGTAGTGTATAGTGTAGTGTATAATTAAGTGTATAATGTAGTGTATAGTGTAGTGCATAGTAGTATATATTGTAGTGTATATTAGTGTATAATGTATTGTATAATGTAGTGTATAATGTAGCGTATAGTAGTGTATAGTGTAGTGTATAGTGTAGTGTATAGTGTAGTGTATAGTGTAGTGTATAGTGTAGTGTATATTGTAGTGTATAATTTAGTGTATAATGTAGTGTATAGTGTAGTGGATAGTAGTGTATAATATAGTGTATAGTGTAGTGTATAGTGTAGTATATAGCTTAGTATATAATGTAGTGTATAATGTAGTGTATAATGTTGTGTATAGTAGTGTAGTGTATAGTGTAGTGTTAAGTGTAGTGTATAGTAGTGTAATGTATAGTGTAATGTATAGTAGTGTAGTGTATAATGTATTGTATAGTGTAGTGGGTAGTGTATAGTGTAGTGTATAATAGTGTATAATGTAGTGTAAAATGTAGTGTATAATGTAGTGTAGTGTATAATGTAGTGTAGTGTATAATGTAGTGTATAATGTAGTTTATAGTGTAGTGTATTGTGTAGTGTATAGTGTAGTGTATAATGTAGTTTATAGTAGTGTATAGTGTAGTGTATAGTGTAGTGTATAATGTAGTGTACAGTGTAGTGTATAGTGTAGTGTATAGTGTAGTGTATAGTAGTGTAGTGTATAGTGTAGTGTGTAGTGTAGTGTATAGTGTAGTGTGTAGTGTATAGTGTAGTGTACAGTGTAATGTATAGTAGTGTATAGTGGTGTATAGTGTAGTGTATAGTGTAGTGTGTAGTGTATAGTGTAGTGTATAGTGTAGTGTATAGTAGTGTATAGTATAGTGTATAGTGTAGTGTATAGTGTAGTGTATAGTGTAGTGTCTAATGTAGTGTATAATGTAGCGTATAGTGTAGTATTTAGTGTAGTGTATAGTGTATTGTATAGTAGTGTATAATGTAGTGTATAATGTAGTGTATTGAAGTGTATAATGTAGTGTATAATGTAGTGTAGTGTATAATGTAGTGTAGTGTATAATGTAGTGTATAGTGAATGTATAATGTAGTGTAGTGTATAATGTAGTGTATAATGTAGTGTATAATGAAGTGTATAGTGCAGTGTATACTGTAATGTATAATGTAGTGTAGTGTATAATGTACTGTAGTGTATAATGTAGTGTAGTGTATAATGTAGTGTAGTGTATAATGTAGTGTATAATGTAGTGTATAGTAGTGTATAGTGTAGTGTATAGTGTAGTGTGTAGTGTATATTGTAGTGTATAATGTAGTGTATAATGTAGTGTATAATGTTGTGTATAGTAGTGTAGTATATAGTGTAGTGTTAAGTGTAGTGTATAGTAGTGTAATGTATATTGTAATGTATAGTAGTGTAGTGTATAATGTAGTGTATAGTGTAGTGTACAGTGTAGAGTATAGTGTAGTGTATAATAGTGTATAATGTAGTGTAAAATGTAGTGTATAATGTAGTGTAGTGTAGAATGTAGTGTATAATGTAGTGTATAGTGTAGTGTATTGTGTAGTGTATAGTTGTAATGTATAGTAGTGTAGTGTATAGTGTAGTATGTAGTGTAGTGTATAGTGTAGTGTATAGTATAGTGTATAATGTAGATTATAGTGTAGTGTATAGTGTAGTGTAAAATGTAGTGTACAGTGTAGTATATAGTGTAGTTTATAATGTATTGTATAGTGTAGTATATAGTGTAGTGTATAATGTAGTGTATAGTAGTGTATAGTGTAGTGTATAGTGTAGTGTATAATGTAGTGTACAGTGTATAGTGTAGTGTATAGTGTAGTGTATAGTGTATAGTGTAGTGTAGTATATAGTGTAGTGTGTAGTGTAGTGTACATTGTAGTCTATAGTGGTGTATAGTGTGATGTATAGTGTAGTGTGTAGTGTATAGTGTAGTGTATAGTGTAGTGTATAGTAGTGTATAGTATAGTGTATAGTGCAGTGTATAGTGTAGTGTATAGTGTAGTGTATAGTAGTGTATAGTGTAGTGCATAGTGTAGTGTATAATGTAGTGTATAGTGTAGTGTATAGTAGTGTATAGTGTAGTGTATAGTGTAGTGTATAGTGTAGTGTATAGTGTAGTGTATAGTAGTGTATAGTGTAGTGTATAGTGTAGTGTATAGTGTGGTGTATAGTAGTGTATAATGTAGTGTATAATGTAGTGTATAGTAGTGTATAGTGTAGTGTATAGTATAGTGTATAATGTAGTGTATAATGTAGTGTATAGTGTAGTGCATAGTAGTATATATTGTAGTGTATAGTAGTGTATAATGTATTGTATAATGTAGTGTATAATGTAGCGTATAGTAGTGTATAGTGTAGTGTATAGTGTAGTGTATAGTGTAGTGTATAGTGTAGTGTATAGTGTAGTGTATAATTTAGTGTATAATGTAGTGTATAGTGTAGTGGATAGTAGTGTATAATATAGTGTATAGTGTAGTGTATAGTGTAGTATATAGCTTAGTATATAATGTAGTGTATAATGTAGTGTATAATGTTGTGTATAGTAGTGTAGTGTATAGTGTAGTGTTAAGTGTAGTGTATAGTAGTGTAATGTATAGTGTAATGTATAGTAGTGTATAGTGTAGTGTATAGTGTAGTGTATAGTGTAGTGTATAGTAGTGTATAGTGTAGTGTAGTGTATAGTGTAGTGTATAGTGTGGTGTATAGTAGTGTATAATGTAGTGTATAATGTAGTGTATAGTAGTGTATAGTGTAGTGTATAGTGTAGTGTATAATTAAGTGTATAATGTAGTGTATAGTGTAGTGCATAGTAGTATATATTGTAGTGTATATTAGTGTATAATGTATTGTATAATGTAGTGTATAATGTAGCGTATAGTAGTGTATAGTGTAGTGTATAGTGTAGTGTATAGTGTAGTGTATAGTGTAGTGTATAGTGTAGTGTATATTGTAGTGTATAATTTAGTGTATAATGTAGTGTATAGTGTAGTGGATAGTAGTGTATAATATAGTGTATAGTGTAGTGTATAGTGTAGTATATAGCTTAGTATATAATGTAGTGTATAATGTAGTGTATAATGTTGTGTATAGTAGTGTAGTGTATAGTGTAGTGTTAAGTGTAGTGTATAGTAGTGTAATGTATAGTGTAATGTATAGTAGTGTAGTGTATAATGTATTGTATAGTGTAGTGGGTAGTGTATAGTGTAGTGTATAATAGTGTATAATGTAGTGTAAAATGTAGTGTATAATGTAGTGTAGTGTATAATGTAGTGTAGTGTATAATGTAGTGTATAATGTAGTTTATAGTGTAGTGTATTGTGTAGTGTATAGTGTAGTGTATAATGTAGTTTATAGTAGTGTATAGTGTAGTGTATAGTGTAGTGTATAATGTAGTGTACAGTGTAGTGTATAGTGTAGTGTATAGTGTAGTGTATAGTAGTGTAGTGTATAGTGTAGTGTGTAGTGTAGTGTATAGTGTAGTGTGTAGTGTATAGTGTAGTGTACAGTGTAATGTATAGTAGTGTATAGTGGTGTATAGTGTAGTGTATAGTGTAGTGTGTAGTGTATAGTGTAGTGTATAGTGTAGTGTATAGTAGTGTATAGTATAGTGTATAGTGTAGTGTATAGTGTAGTGTATAGTGTAGTGTCTAATGTAGTGTATAATGTAGCGTATAGTGTAGTATTTAGTGTAGTGTATAGTGTATTGTATAGTAGTGTATAATGTAGTGTATAATGTAGTGTATTGAAGTGTATAATGTAGTGTATAATGTAGTGTAGTGTATAATGTAGTGTAGTGTATAATGTAGTGTATAGTGAATGTATAATGTAGTGTAGTGTATAATGTAGTGTATAATGTAGTGTATAATGAAGTGTATAGTGCAGTGTATACTGTAATGTATAATGTAGTGTAGTGTATAATGTACTGTAGTGTATAATGTAGTGTAGTGTATAATGTAGTGTAGTGTATAATGTAGTGTATAATGTAGTGTATAGTAGTGTATAGTGTAGTGTATAGTGTAGTGTGTAGTGTATATTGTAGTGTATAATGTAGTGTATAATGTAGTGTATAATGTTGTGTATAGTAGTGTAGTATATAGTGTAGTGTTAAGTGTAGTGTATAGTAGTGTAATGTATATTGTAATGTATAGTAGTGTAGTGTATAATGTAGTGTATAGTGTAGTGTACAGTGTAGAGTATAGTGTAGTGTATAATAGTGTATAATGTAGTGTAAAATGTAGTGTATAATGTAGTGTAGTGTAGAATGTAGTGTATAATGTAGTGTATAGTGTAGTGTATTGTGTAGTGTATAGTTGTAATGTATAGTAGTGTAGTGTATAGTGTAGTATGTAGTGTAGTGTATAGTGTAGTGTATAGTATAGTGTATAATGTAGATTATAGTGTAGTGTATAGTGTAGTGTAAAATGTAGTGTACAGTGTAGTATATAGTGTAGTTTATAATGTATTGTATAGTGTAGTATATAGTGTAGTGTATAATGTAGTGTATAGTAGTGTATAGTGTAGTGTATAGTGTAGTGTATAATGTAGTGTACAGTGTATAGTGTAGTGTATAGTGTAGTGTATAGTGTATAGTGTAGTGTAGTATATAGTGTAGTGTGTAGTGTAGTGTACATTGTAGTCTATAGTGGTGTATAGTGTGATGTATAGTGTAGTGTGTAGTGTATAGTGTAGTGTATAGTGTAGTGTATAGTAGTGTATAGTATAGTGTATAGTGCAGTGTATAGTGTAGTGTATAGTGTAGTGTATAATGTAGTGTATAATGTAGTGTAGTGTATAATGTAGTGTAGTGTATAATGTAGTGTATAGTGAATGTATAATGTAGTGTATAATGTAGTGTATAATGTAGTGTATAGTGCAGTGTATACTGTAATGTGTATTGTAGTGTAGTGTACAATGTAGTGTAGTGTATAATGTAGTGTAGTGTATAATGTAGTGTAGTGTATAATGTAGTGTAGTGTATAATGTAGTGTATAATGTAGTGTATAATGTAGTGTATAATGTAGTGTATAATGTAGTGTAGTGTATAATGTAGTGTAGTGTATAATGTAGTGTATAATGTAGTGTAGTGTATAATGTAGTGTATAATGTAGTGTAGTGTATAATGTAGTGTATAATGTAGTGTAGTGTATAATGTAGTGTATAATGTAGTGTAGTGTATAATGTAGTGTAGTGTATAATGTAGTGTGTAGTGTAGTGTGTAGTGTATAATGTAGTGTAGTTTATAATGTAGTGTATAATGTAGCGTAGTGTATAATGTAGTGTAGTGTATAGTGTAGTGTATAATGTAGTGTAGTGTATAATGTAGTGTATAATGTAGTGTATAGTGAATGTATAATGTAGTGTAGTGTATAATGTAGTGTATAATGTAGTGTAGTGTATAATGTAGTGTAGTGTATAATGTAGTGTAGTGTATAATGTAGTGTAGTGTATAATGTAGTGTATAGTGTAGTGTATTGTGTAGTTGGCCCACCTTGAGCACCAACTTCTCGCCCTCCAGCACGGCCACCAGGGGCCGCCACTTGGCTCGCATGGCTGGGGCCGAGGTGGGCGGTCCCGTGGGGGACTCCTCGGGGACCACCCCCAGGCCCCTCCCCGTTGTCTTCCCCTTCTTCCTCTTCCTGTTGTTGTTGTTGTTGTTGTTGTTCTCGTTGTTGTTGTTGTTGTTGCCTCGACCCCCCTTCCCCCCCGGCTTCTTTCGACCGTCTTTGTCTTCTTCTGACGGGGGAAGGTGGGTTGCGGAGGCATGGGCAGGAAGGGAGGAAAGAGTCAGAGGAGAGAGACTGAGAGAGAGAGATGGGATCACCAACTCATTCACGCACTCATTCAGCAACTCACTCACTCACTCACTCATTCACTCACTCACTCACTCATTCATCCACTCACTCATTCTCTCACTCATTCATTCACTCACTCACTCATTCATCCACTCACTCATTCACCCAATCATTCACTCATTCACCCACTCACTCATTCATCCACTCACTCATTCACCCACTCACACACTCATTCACCCACACACTCACTCTCTCACTCATTCATTCACCCACTCAATCACTCATTCATCCACTCAATCATTCACCCACCCACTCACTCACTCATTCACCCTCTCACTCATTTACGAACCCATCCACTCACTCACCAGCTCACTCAAGCAAACCACTCACCCACTCACCTACTTATTCATTAATTCACCCACTCACTAAACCACTCATTCATTCACCAACCCATCCACTCACTCACCCACTGACTCATTCAAGCACCCACACACTCACCCACTCATTCACAAACCCATCCACCCACTTACTCACTCAGTCATGCAAGCACTCACTTATTCACCCACTCACTCAACCACTCCCTCACTCATTCAATCACCCAGTCACTCAGTCAAAGACCCACCCACTCATCCACCCTGCTCACTCATTCACCCACCCACTTGCTTACTCACTCACCCAACCACTCATTCACCCACTCACCGACCATTCATTCAACCACTCACTCACCCACTAATTCACACACTCATTCGCCCACTCATTCACCCTCCCACTCATCCACTCAACTCAATAATTTAACCACTCACTCATTCACCCACCAACTCACCCACCAACTCACTCCTCAACTCACCTGTCCACCCACCTACTCATCCAGATTCGTAGTACCGCACGCTAACCACTCCACGACCGCTCCACACTCAATCACCCACTCAACAACAACAGCCGTCCATTCATCACTGTCTGTGACATCACCGCGGCACTTGTGCCAGGCTAGGCGCACTCCGAGGCGACGTGCAGTGGTCCCTAGGTGCCATGGGTTGACTGAATGAGATAAACTAAAAACTAACATTTGTTATTTTACCAGGTACAGGCCGCACTAGCCTGTGCATCTCAACAAAGTGGATAATCACGTGGAAATGTATAGCAGTTAAATACTCCAGACGCTTGCCATTGATTCTGAACGTGGGGGGACAATCCCGAGGACCTGGAGAAGAAGCCACGTGGCAATAGGGATAGAAGAAGAGAGAGAGAGAGAGAGATTGAGATGCACACTCCAAATATATTGCAGGCGTCAGGGTCGGGATGGAGCTCACGACCACCTGTACACCAAGTGAGGTAGTCAACATCTCGCCACCATGGCGCCCAGATAACAACTTGCATAACTGTATCTGCCCGGCGCTCCGCTCGTTGTTGTGAGCGTCGCTCCTCCGGCCCTCCGTTGTTGTTGGAGGGCGACTGCCTCCGACTGCCCAGTAGCAGCATCCTTCACGAGCCTCCTCCACAGAGGCCGATCTTGACACCGCTGGTACCGGTCATCGGCAAGTCCGCTCAGCTCCACGTCCTCCTGTACCACATCACTCCATCTCTTCTCTAGCCACGTGCCTCCTGTACCACGTCACTCCATCTCTTCTCTAGCCCCGTGCCTCCTGTACCACATCACTCCATCTCTTCTCTAGCCCCGTGCCTCCTGTACCACATCACTCCATCTCTTCTCTAGCCCCGTGCCTCCTGTACCACATCACTCCATCTCTTCTCTAGCCCCGTGCCTCCTGTACCACATCACTCCATCTCTTCTCTAGCCCCGTGCCTCCTGTACCACGTCACTCCATCTCTCCTCTAGCCCCGTGCCTCCTGTACCACATCACTCCATCTCTTCTCTAGCCCCGTGCCTCCTGTACCACATCACTCCATCTCTTCTCTAGCCCCGTGCCTCCTGTACCACATCACTCCATCTCTTCTCTAGCCCCGTGCCTCCTGTACCACATCACTCCATCTCTTCTCTAGCCCCGTGCCTCCTGTACCACATCACTCCATCTCTTCTCTAGCCCCGTGCCTCCTGTACCACATCACTCCATCTCTTCTCTAGCCCCGTGCCTCCTGTACCACATTACTCCATCTCTTCTCTAGCCCCGTGCCTCCTGTACCACATCACTCCATCTCTTCTCTAGCCCCGTGCCTCCTGTACCACATCACTCCATCTCTTCTCTAGCCCCGTGCCTCCTGTACCACATCACTCCATCTCTTCTCTAGCCCCGTGCCTCCTGTACCACATCACTCCATCTCTTCTCTAGCCCCGTGCCTCCTGTACCACATCACTCCATCTCTTCTCTAGCCCCGTGCCTCCTGTACCACATCACTCCATCTCTTCTCTAGCCCCGTGCCTCCTGTACCATATCACTCCATCTCTTCTCTAGCCCCGTGCCTCCTGTACCACATCACTCCATCTCTTCTCTAGCCCCGTGCCTCCTGTACCACATCACTCCATCTCTTCTCTAGCCCCGTGCCTCCTGTACCACATCACTCCATCTCTTCACTAGCCCCGTGCCTCCTGTACCACATCACTCCATCTCTTCTCTAGCCCCGTGTCTCCTGTACCACATCACTCCATCTCTTCTCTAGCCCCGTGCCTCCTGTACCACATCACGCCATCTCTTCTCTAGCCCCGTGCCTCCTGTACCACATCACTCCATCTCTTCTCTAGCCCCGTGCCTCCTGTACCACATCACTCCATCTCTTCTCTAGCCCCGTGCCTCCTGTACCACATCACTCCATCTCTTCTCTAGCCCCGTGCCTCCTGTACCACATCACTCCATCTCTTCTCTAGCCCCGTGCCTCCTGTACCACATCACTCCATCTCTTCTCTAGCCCCGTGCCTCCTGTACCACATCACTCCATCTCTTCTCTAGCCACGTGCCTCCTGTACCACATCACTCCATCTCTTCTCTAGCCACGTGCCTCCTGTACCACATCACTCCATCTCTTCTCTAGCCCCATGCCTCCTGTACCACATCACTCCATCTCTTCTCTAGCCCCGTGCCTCCTGTACCACATCACTCCATCTCTTCTCTAGCCCCGTGCCTCCTGTACCACATCACTCCATCTCTTCTCTAGCCACGTGCCTCCTGTACCACATCACTCCATCTCTTCTCTAGCCCCGTGCCTCCTGTACAACATCACTCCATCCCTTCTCTAGCCCCGTGCCTCCTGTACCACATCACTCCATCTCTTCTCTAGCCCCGTGCCTCCTGTACCACATCACTCCATCTCTTCTCTAGCCCGTGCCACGCCCGCTTAGCCCCCTCGATCCGGCCGAGCAAAAGCTGTTTCACAGCATGCGGTGGCTGGGCATGCGGGCTACATGACCCAGCCAACGCAGCCTTGCCCGCCGGAGGAGCTCACCGATGGGAATGTGCCCAGATATATATATAAAAAAAAATCTAGGCTGGCTTCAACCAGGACGGATTGTAGGCGCAGATGTTCCATCAGAAGGGTCCACGTTTCGCAAACATAGAGGAGGGTGGGCATAACTTTGGCTGAGAAGACCTGACCCTTCACGTGGAGCGACAGACCTGGTAGCTTCAATACAGCGCTGCGCTGCTGATGAGAATATAATGCCGCTCGACTGATTCAGGGTGAGGCCTCACCTGCCAAAACGGAGTTGGACATAAGCACACGGCCCAGGTACAGAAACTTCTCAGCTCTCTCCACAACTGCACCGTCACTCATGGGGAGTCCAGGCAAGCACCCCAAATATACCGCAGCAGCAACAGGCAGGGGTGGAGCCACAGGGGGAGCTGGGGGGGGGGGCTGTGGGGGGCTCAGCCCCCCTGAAATGTTGGGAAAGTCGGTAATCGGGATACGCGGATATCCGTCTGCTGCAAAATGCTGCAGGCTGCCACCTCGTGCTGCCCTGCAGGCTGCCACCTTGTGTGCTGCCCTGCAGGCTGCTTTAGCGGCAGCCTTTGGAACTTGTCGAACTTCTTAGCCGCGTCGGCGGCTCCGACCTACTAATAAACTCCGCGTTCAAATCCAATAAAATGTGTTTCATGCCATTTGTAGCGCCCTTTGGAAAGCATAAACACACTGAGATATTTACACCATTGAAAACCAATTATCACACTGAGATATCTCAGAATATTGAAGTCAGCCCCCCCCCCCCCAAAGTCAAAATCCTGGCTCCGCCCCTGGCAGCAGGCATCGTCTGGATTTGGACCGAACCCACGACCTCGTGCATATCATGCGGGGAAGGTAACTGATGTAAGATAATGTAACTCAATCATAGTTTACTTTTTAGTGAAGTTAATGTACCTGATGTAAGTTAATGTAACTCAATCCTAGTTTACTCTTTAGTGAAGTTAATGTAACTGATGTAAGTTAATGTAACTCAATCCTAGTTTACTCTTTAGTGAAGTTAATGTAACTGATGTAAGTTAATGTAACTCAATCATAGTTTACTTTTTAGTGCAAGTTAATGAAACTGATGTAAGTTAATGTAACTCAATCATAGTTTACTTTTTAGTGAAGTTAATGTTAGTGAAGTTAATGTAACTCAATCATAGTTTACTCTTTAGTGAAATTAATGCAACTGGTGTAAGTTAATGTAACTCAATCATAGTTTACTTTTTAGTGAAAGTTAATGTAACTGATGTAAGTTAATGTAACTCAATCATAGTTTACTTTTTAGTGAAGTTAATGTTAGTGAAGTTAATGTAACTCAATCATAGTTTACTCTTTAGTGAAATTAATGCAACTGGTGTAAGTTAATGTAACTCAATCATAGTTTACTCTTTAGTGAAGTTAATGTAACTGATGTAAGTTAACGTGACTCAATCATAGTTTACTTTTTAGTGAAGTTAATGTAACTGATGTAGGTTAATGTAACTCAATCATAGTTTACTTTTTAGTGAAGTTAATGCAATTGATGTAAGTTAATGTAACTCAATCATAGTTTACTCTTTAGTGAAGTTAATGTAACTGTTGTAAGTTAATGTAACTCAATCATAGTTTACTTTTT